AGGCCAGCCATTTATAAGTAAGAATAAGACCCCATGGAAGCTGGGTTGTGGGCTCCCCAAAAGAGAGCCAAAGAGTAAAAGAACAACAGATACAAATGAATTCAACTAGACCATTAGCCCATTGAGAAAAGACTGTGTCTATGTGGCAAGCATGTAAATCTTCATACATGTTGGCATATTGGTTGTTTTTATTTGTTTAGCTTTTTAAGAATTTGAGGTTTTCCAAGTGGAGCATGGTGGTGCACACCTTTAATCTCAGGCCAAGGCAGGTAGATCTGAGTTCCAGGCCAGCCAGGGCTGCACAGTGAGACACTCTTTAAAAATGAAAATGTATGAGTGAGTACATCCCATGTTCCTCTTTTTGGGTCTGGCTTACCTCACTCAGGATAGTGTTTTCTATTTCTGTCCATTTGCATGCAAAATTCAAGAAGTCATTGTTTTTTACTGCTGGGTAGTACTTTCTTCATCCATTCTTCCATTGAAGGGCATCTAGGTTGTTTCCAGGTTCTGGCTATTACAAACAATGCTGCTATGAACATAGTTGAGCATATACTTTTGTTGTATGATAGGGCATCTCTTGGGTATATTCCCAAGAGTGGTATTGCTGGGTCCAGGGGTAGGTTGATCCCGAATTTCCTGAGGAAACCGCCACACTATAGTCATCCTCCAGGATATTAACCTTCATCAGGCGATGAAAGGAGACAGAGACAGAGACCCACATTGGAGCACCAGACTGAAATCCCAAGGTTCAAATCAGGAGCAGAAGGAGAGAGAGCACGAGCAAGGAACTCAGGACCGCGAGGGGTGCACCCACACACTGAGACAATGGGGATGTTCTATCAGGAACTCACCAAGGCCAGCTGGATGCTCACCTTACTAGACCTGGATGGAGGTGGACTTCCCACAGGGCAGGGAACCCATTGCTCTTCGGGCTAACAGGGGGGGGGGATTTGATTGGGGGGGGGGGGGAATGGGAGGTGGTGGCAGGGAAGAGACAGAAATCTTTAATAAATAAATTAATTTAAAAAAAAAAGAAAATGTGTCAGAGCAGTGGTGGCACACACCTTTCGGTGTCCCAGCATTCGGATGCAGAGGCAGGTGGATTTCTGTGAGTTTGAGGCCAGCCTGGTCTACAAAGCAAATTCTTGGACAACTGGGGCTACATAGAGAAACTCTGTCTCAAAAAATAAATCAAAGCAAAACAAAACGAAAAAGTAATTTTTTTCTAAATTTGAGACAAAATTTTCCATTCCTTTTAAGTGTTATAAGTAACATATTTTGCCTCTTTATCTGTTTGAAATTTTCTGGTATAATAATCAGAAGAGAAAGTAAATTACTTGTGAAGGAAAAAAGTAAATGGGTCATTGTAATAACAGCCCCTATATACCGTGATGCACAGTTTGTTTTAACTGATTCTGCACGTCCACTTCTGTGTAGACTTAACTTGCACTGACATATTTGTTTCCTATTCTGTGCCAGGGTTTGATACCGTCAGACTTCACAGCTTTTGCAAGCCTGGCTAGTGAATTAATGTCCAGGCTTCATTTTGTCACATCACATTAGCCATTTACATTTCTCTTCGCTGTTCATGTGCTTTGTGGCCTTTTCCTATTGAGCCGTTTGTCTCCCTGAGTTGTAGGGTCAGCTCGTATACTCCATAGCAGTCCTCTGTTGTATAGATTACAGATATTTTGTCTCAGTCTCTTCTATTCTTCTGTTGTTTCAGCTCGCCTTTTAAACCCTACAGTAATGAGTAGTGGGTCTTCCATTTCAGTCTAACCCAGTACTTTTGGTGATGGTACATTATGGTATCTGCGTGCAGCCAAGATAGCCTTCTGAAGTCTGTGGGGCTCTGTGGTGCCGTCTGTCAGCACGGCAGGAAAATCATCACCAGCATCCATTGTCTTTGGTCCAGTAGACCCTGTCTGTTTTTGTTCACTAGTTATCTTATAAATTATTTACAAAATTAGGAATAGGAACGAAATGAAGAATTCATTTGAAAATAAAATAAATGGGGGCTGGAGCGGTGACTCATTGGTTACGAGTACTTGCTGCTCTTACAGAGGACCTGGCTCACATCTGTCTGTAACTCTAGTTCCAATGCCTTATTCGGGCCTGTTTGGGCACCAGACTTGCACATGATGCACATACATGTAGGGAAATACTTGTGCACATAAAAATCTTTTAAAATATATAATACATGAAGTAACTTTTCCACATTCTTTTGGTTATGGGTAAACACACACACATAACATGTATACACACATACTAGGTTTTTTTATTGTGTTTTATTTCTTTTTTAAAATTTTAATTTTTTTACTTCTTTTGATATGTTTTATTTGAGACAGGGTATAACCATATAATTCTGTCTTGGATCTTGATATGTAGACTGGACTGGACTTGAACTCACAGAACACCTTCTGCCTTTGCCTCTCAAGTGCTGGAATAAAATGTGTGTGCTACCACACTTGGCCATATATTCTGAATTTTTATTCTACATTGTCCTTGTTGGGAACGCACACACATACATGTGTTACCCCTGGAATGGATGTGTCTCAAATTACAGCTAACTGCTCATTAGCTGTTGTGCATGAACCCGATGCATCCTTTCTGAAAGGCTGATTGTGGTTTCAGGTCTGGCTTAGCATTGCTCCTAGTTCTTCTCGTTCTTGCAGCATCAAAAATAGCACTTGGATTTTTTTTTTTTTTTTTTTTTTGTGGAACCTTTGGTGATTCACAGAGCTGCTTTGTTTCCTAATTCAAAGTTTTGGGTGATTTTTTTTTTTTTGGTATCTAGAGTAGAGTAATCAATGATTTTCTTTTTCTAAGACAGGGTTTCTCTGTGTAGCCCTGACTATAGATTACTTTGTAGGCCAGGCTGACTTCAAACTCGCAGAGATCCTCCTGCCTCTACCTTCTGAGTGCTGGAGTTAAAGGTATGCACCACCACCATCTGGCTAGCCAATAATTTTCAAATGTCTTTGTCATCTGTGTTCCTCTGTCATTATTGTATACCTTCCCCCTGTAAACTATACCAAATACAGTTTTACACACAGCATCATGGAAAATGAAAGGATAGGGTGTGTCTTTATATTGTAACAGGAGCCATCCAAGGTCCTACTGCAAATACTGCATGACAACATCTTTCCTGGTAAAGCCTAACTGGGCAGAGAGTATGCTGCTTCTTTTTGTGTTAGGAATATATTGTTTACTGTTCAATTTTTTAAAAAATCACACTTATTATGTATTCCGTGTGTTCTGGGAGGAAGGAACGCACGTGGGAAAGTCAGAGGAGAACTTTGAGTCTGTTCCCTTCTTCCACCATGTGGCTTCTGGGGATCAACCTCAGGTCACCAGGCTTGGCAGGAGGTGCTGGCCCAGCTCAGCAGTTCTTGAATTTGAGGACATTCATCAGGTCTACTGTCACCAAAGATCATAAAGTGAAATTTGTTTCTGCCATCAGTTTCATTGCCATTGGACATCTGCTGTACACTTCACATCTCTGTGTGTATCTGATTTGTCTTGGAATTGTGGAGTGTCTTCCTGTGCCACTTTTTCTTAAGGCCATTAGAGATAGAAATTTTGAAGTCAGGATTCTGAACAGTGTTCAGTGGAGGCCAAAAGCAGATAGAAATGCCTCCAGCGGTTCATTCTGTGCTGAAACCGCATGAGCTGCTCCAGAAGGAAGACACCACAGCTGGCTCTGCAGACCCTGAGGTCACACCGAGGGCTCGAGTCCACTGGAGAGTGTATGACTGTGTTAATCTGGAACGGCCACTGACCTGAAAGGTGTTAGACATCACCTTTTCTGTGTGTTGTGAGCAAAAGGAGGAAATGAACGTCTTTTGTCTGGGACAGATGCATCCTCTTCCTGTTCGTCTGCTCACTGGAGTCCTGCTTTATCTGCCCCTCTCCTCTCCACCTCTTCTCTCTATCCAAGCTGTTGGCCCCGGAGTGAACTGCATTTCTGTAGAGCACAGGGCACTGCCAGCCTCTCAGTCGGGAAGTCTCTCTAAGAGGGGTGTTTGCCAAGTGCAATATCATTGTGTGTGCAGGCATCACAGGAGTCTGCCAAGCCCAGAGGTAGGCTGCCAGTGCAAATGCCACGTCGACATGACATTTACAAGTTTAGAGTCTGGAAAAGAACTGGCCGCGGACACCTTCAGCTATCTCGTCTCCGGTATCAGTAACCGGGCCAGCTGGGATTTTCAGACTGAAGAACTCAATCAGGAAGTAATACTTGATGTATTTGAAGCTGTCATTACCCTCTTCCAGGAAAGGAGAAATCCATAGGCTGCAAGATTAGCCATAATGGTTAAGCTTGTAGACTCGAGAATCAAGCATGGATGAGGCTCTTGAATGAGGTTCTTATCAGTTACTACAGTGAACTTGAACAAGCTGCTTAATCTGCATGATCCTGAGCTCTGAGACAGGAATGTCACTGTCACCTTCCTCATAGATTTATCACATAGAATAAACAAATTGAAAACCAAATCGCTTACATGCTTCAAAACCCCCTGGTAGATTGTTTCCAGTTCTCATACTTCAGTCCTGAGAATTTTCCAGAACATATTGTGCCAGCAAGAGCTTGTGTGTAGACTAGCCTCGGTTGAGGCACTGCTGCAGCACCGCACAGGGTCCCAGGACACGGTTTTCCTCGTCTCTCTAGGGAGCCAGGATTGTTTGAGCATTTTGCATTTCTGTAATTGTTTAGGTGCAAAAATTACTTGGAACTTTGTATGCCCTAGAACTTTTGTGTGTCACATTCAAATGCAAAATGCAGACCCATAGCTCTTGAAAGGCTGTTTATTAGGGCAACATACTTTTTTGGGGGACATGAGTAACAAGGTCAATTATCATGATCTGGTATCTGAATAGTAGATTTTTCCGTATTTATATAAAATATAAGTATTGAGGTAACCTTGGTTTTTTTTTAAACTGTTTTCAGAGCCGTTAGTAAAATAATGAGATTCCTACCCCTCCTTTCTCTTCTCTTCCAGGTCTTCAAAGCTATTTCGGGCATTCTATGTCCCCTTCCTGTCGGATCAGTATACGGTGTATGTGAACTACACCATCCTTAAGCCTCGAAAAGCAAAGCAAAGCAGGAAGAAAAGTGGAGGTTAGCAACAGCCCCGTGGCTCCAGCGGACAGCCATCACGTTAACTAGTGGTTCCACTGAGCTGTAACGCTCGTAATAAAGGTCACCTGACAAGAATGCCAGATTCCGGGTGCTCTGAACTCATCACGTCTGGCACAGTCACACACTTCCTGCCCCTGTGTGTTCTGCATGTGAGCTTTCTGCAGATAGGCAGAACCCCGAGCGCCTGGGGAGATGCATTGCTCCACTTGTCAATTGTTTTCTCTCTTCAATTATTTTCTAGAGTGGAGGAGAGCAGAAGCCTCTCCCAGAAGAACCGAGAGCCCTTGACTGGGTGTGTGTGCTAGCAGTTCTGCACGCTCTGGCCTGGCGTCTGGGAACTAGCAAGCCTTCTTTAGGGTACCTGGTTTCTCCACCAAAGCTGTTTGGCAGCTCCTAGCAGACCTTGTTCAAATCCGAGTGCTGAAAAGCACAGCCTAGTTGCCAAGTGACATGTCCTTTCACCTCCAGCAAGACGCATTCGCAGGACTACAACCTTGGCCTGGGAGCTCAGGAAAAAGGCGACCACTGAAGAACTGTGACCTAATCTTATTATTTATGATGCCTCTAATTTTCATTTTATTTTCTTTAAAATCAATAATAATCATATGGCTATTTGTGAAGGTTTTAAGATTCTAAAAAAAGTTTCAGCATGGTATATCTTGAATCCTAGACTCTGTACAACTATATCGGGCATCTTTGGAGAGAAGTCTATCAATAGAGTTGGGTGACATCATATTTTAAAGTAGCTTGAGGCCATTTTGCGGACATTGAGAATTCCTTTGTGTAAAATGACAGCCCCGGTGAAATGAAAAGGACAGTGTGCATATATAGCACCCACACTTCAATTCTGCTGCAAGGGGTCCTTGAGCAGGTGCGTCTAGTTAGTTGCATAGACGGCGGTAAGGACTACAAAAGGCTGCCTGTTAGTTCCCCTTCCCTTTCAGTACGGCACAATGTATAAGACATTTCCTCAGTGTCTCATTTGATCCTCAGCCACTGCGAGGACCCACTTCACAGAAGAGGAAGCAGATGAAGGGGGAGAGAAGAAGTGGCTTGTCCCTTGTCATATGTGTGGGCAGGAAGTCATAGGCCTGGGTGTCGAATCCAGGCTGTCTGACTTCTCACGTTCTCAGACTGTCCATGCCTCTCCTCCACCTATGAAACACGACTTGGGAGGAGGGTTAGATTGACCACAGGCCACGTTTGTTTTGTCAATTTCTGTTTTAAGGAAGATGTTTAGGTACAGTTCTTTGAGTCCTTTGGAGCCTGTGGGTGAGACCTCACTTAGCAGTGCTGTGTGGTTTTGCCAGACTTCGGTAGGAAGGTCCTGGCTCTATCACCCACAGGATCTTCTGCATACAGACTTCTTGTTGTCCCCGTGGGCCATGTTACAGGTGCCTTATTTCCTTAAGGGTGACAGGCTCTAGTAGTGCAGAGGGTAGATCTGATTCTCACGGTTTCCATTTTCCTGTTTCCTTTTTAAGGAAAGTAACTTTCTCATGTGAATTAGTCTCAATAAAAGAACAAAGAGGGCAGAAAAAATAAGTAGTTAAATGAAAATATTTACTCTTGGGGGTTCCCCTCTGAAAGAATACCGATTGGAGTTGAAGCAGAGGTGAGGCAGCAGGTTCAGACATACAGAATGACAGCTGCACAGGAAGGATAGACCGCAGCCCTACTGTGCGCATGGTCCCTGAAATTCTGTTCTCAGCACCTGATCGCCACTTTCCAAGGCAAACAGTGGGGTGTGATCTGAAGACCAGAACTGCAGTGAAGCCTATCTCAGAAGCCGAGGCCCTGTAGGATGCACAGAAGAGTCGATGATGGGGTTCAGAGAAGAACAGCTCTTGTCCAAAGTGTGGGACTTAGGAGTGTGGCTGAGTGGTGGAGCGCATGTTTACTGTGTGGAAGATCCAGGGTTCAGTTTTTTTTTTTTTAAAGATTTATTTATATATTTATTATGTATACAACATTCTGCCTCCATGTATGCCTGCAGGCCAGAAGAGGGCACCAAATCTCATTACGGATGGTTGTGAGCCACCATGTGGTTGCTGGGAATTGAACTCAGGACCTCTGGAAGAGCAGCCAGTGCTCTTAACCGCTGAGCCATCTCTCCAGTCCCCCAGGGTTCAGTTCTTAACATATGCAAACACCCCCCAAAATGGTACAGAGTTGAGCTATTTGATCATCTTGCATGTCTGAAACAAACGTAACGATCCTCCACAGGTGCCTGACATGAACCTAGGCCTCCACGTACGCATGTGCGGGCACTCACACATGTACACACAGTCAGCTCAGTGAGAACTTAATTATAAATTATAAAGGCCAGGTGGACATAGAGCTCTCTTGGGATTGTCGGTTCCAGTCCCTTTGAAAACCCCACTCTGGCTTTCTCCATTCTGTTTCTGGTGAGGGCACAGTACATTGTGGACACTATGCCAGGTACCTCTCAACACTTGGGGGTTGGTTAGCTTCCCCTGGGAAGAAGAAGGGCGTCATGGGCAGTCTCACATCTTTGCCAAGCACCGCTGTGCACACACCTCTGCTCGGTCCTTAGAGTAAGGTACACATGTGTAGATGTCGCTGCTGAGGATGGAGCTCACACATGATCCATAATCTCCTTTGTGGGCAGGACAAGGTAGTAGGGAGACTGGGCAAATCCAGACTTCTTTGCTCTATAGCCCAAACGCAGCTTATCCGAACCCAAATCTTGTGACACTGAGCGCCATTATCGACCCAGTCAGCATGATAGGAATCTGTTAACAAAATCTGCCTCTTGCCTTTTCTTGTCATCTGATAAAAACACAGGTTATCTTAATCTCTTCGGGTAAGTGCGGAAAGCTGCAGCCTGTACTCCTTATTACTGAATCAGGCTTGCTGCAGACGTGGTTTTATAGCAGGGTGGTTATTGATCCCAGTCCCCTTTTCTTTAGGTCTGGAGTTCTGGGAAAGAGCTTTGGCGTCCTTAGGTGAGGATCCCCAGTGGGAACCCTCTCGTGTGTTCTGCTTTCTAGGACAGAGTGAATGGGAGGCACCGTGGCTGTATAGCCTTCTGGCTAACACCAGACGCTTTGGCTTCTCACGTAGTTATTTTTGTTTACATCAAAGAGGCACTTAAATCTTCGCCTCTACAGATGCAGTTAAAAACTTACACGGGCGTCTACTTTTAGGCTCCCACGTTGAATTCCTCAGGTAAGTGGATGACAATGGCTTTGTAACAAGAAGCTCAAGGCACTGTTGGAGTTTCCCATGTAACCCTGGGATTCTTGAAGCCAATGAAACCAGGAAGCAGCACAGTGCTGAAGCCCGTGCATCCAGTTCACCGTCTTCCTGATCCTTGTGCTCTTTCCATGGCAGTGTTTACATTGCGTGCCTACTATATTTCTGTGAAGGAAAGAAGTCAATAAATGTTGGCAGTTTGCCCCTCCCCCCTTTGAGACAGGGTTTCTCTGTTTAGTGCTATATGAACTGGAACTCTCTCTGTAGCCCACTCAGACTCACCTGCCTCTGTCTCCCAAATGCTGCGATTAAAGATGTCACCCCCACCTCGAGCTTGATTCCCCCCCCCACCTTTTTAAAAGATTTTATTTATTATGTATACAGTATTCTGCCTGCAGGTAGACAGGCAGGCCAGAAGAGGGCACCAGATTTCATTACAGATGGTTGTGAGCCACAATGTGGTTGTGGGAATTGAACTCAGGACCTTTGGAAGAACAGCCAGTAGCCAGTGCTCTTAACCGCTGAGCCAACTCTCTAGCCTGATTTCCCCTTTCCTAAGGTCACTTTTTTCATTCGCGCTCAGCTTCTAATCTTCACTGGGAATTGGAATTGGAAACAGCACAACTTCTTGTGTCCTCCATCCCCATGTTGCAGTTCATAGATGCAGCTTTCACAGGTCAAAGAGTCCAGAATGTGTTCCCTGAAACTTAGGGAAGACGCCTTCCGGAATCACAGTGGTAATTTCGTTCCTTCCAGGGGAAGCTGAGCCCACAGGAATTTGAGCATTGTGCTGGAGAGAATGTGCCACATGCCTAGCTTATCTTAGGGTTTGGGCTTCAGACCTCCGGAGTCCAAGAGTCTGGTTGTCATTGGCATCATGACCCAGTTACAACTGGCATTTGGGTAACTTCCCCCCTGGGGAGGTGCTGGATTTGGGGGGTGGGAGAAAGGGAGCTTTCTCCATCCTTGTCTTCCTCTTCGCATGCCACCTCATCACCTGACTTTGCAGAATTACTTTTCACTTTTCTTCCCACCTGACCCAGGTGTCCTTGAGATTTAATTTATCTTTCCCACGTTATTTTAGACACGGTCATTAATCTAGTTCCAGGTGGGAAAGGCCACTGGAGTCGTTCTATCCTGTGTAGGACGCCACCTTTGCTCTCTGTCCGTGTGCTTCTCCATCTTCAGAGCCTCATTTAGAGTCCTCCGGACTTCAGACCCCTTTGTTAGGAGCAGACAACTTTAAGCAGAAACCTTGTAAACCTCTGTTTCAGGAACGATAACTGGCACAGTGGAGCAGGCTCCGTGCCGTCTTATTCGGGGCCCAGCAATTCCCCAACGTTGTTTTGCTCCCATGCATTTGACAACGAGGAAAGTAAAAGACACCTTTTTACTAACAGTCAGCTCTTGCTTTCAATTTGGCACAGATTGTTCATTTTTATTTTTTGAGGCATAGTTTCATTCTGTAGCCTAGAGCGGTCTGTAACTCAGTACATGGCCCAGACTGGCCTAGGAGTCACAGCAATCTTCCTGCCTCAACCTCCCATTGTTGACACGTGAGTTACTGTGCCCAGCATCTTGGTCTGATTTCTTAGACACAGAAAATGCAGCAAGTCAGAAGTCTTGAGAACTCAGAAGGGCAGCTTGTAAGTCAGCCTGTTAGTGTATGTGTGGGGCTTAGCAGTTCTGAACTCCAGACTTTGGCACGAGAGCACATTCCTGAGGTTGCTTCTAAAAAGAGCAACAAGGCCCTGTATGGAATATTTACATTTCTCTATTCCCTGATTTTGGAGGGTCAGACTTGGTACAGATTTTCTTCCGAATGAGGCTGGCTTAGAAGACTTTCTCATTGGTGTGATGAGGTGTTAGGTTCTTCTTGTCCTCTGTCCTTTGTAGAAGATGCTCAGCTGCAATCTGGATTTGTGGTCACACACTCAGATTGAATATTAAGTAGCAAATAATATTGTAAAGCTGAAAACTTCCCTGGATCTTCCCAGCTGTGGAATTCTGCCTAGACCTGACATTTGAACAAGTTCAAATCAATACGTCCAACCAATGAAATGAGGGAAATTGAGGTTAGGGAAGTCACGGTGTGGGGCTGTAGTGGCAAGGACAGCTAGACATTTCCTGTTGGAGCCTTGTAAATTAAACACCTTGTTTGAACAATTTGAGTTTAAGTGAACATTTAAGTTTGAACTTTTTTTTTCTTGAAATTTAAGTGCATCTTGCAGTATCTTTAAAACACTTCAAAGTAAGTCAGGACTCTGCTTGCTTTTGTTTTTCTCTTTACTTTCTGGGTTTGTTCTGTAGTTTCTTACCTGGAGATAAAAAAAAAAAAAAAAGCATAAACTAGGTAACTTTTTGATGGGCCTTAAAAGCCCAAGTGGATGATTCAAGACCGATTTCCTCAGAGTAGGGCTTTTCAGGGACCGTCATGGATTGCAG